AAGTCATTATCCCCTTGAGTGAGCAAAGTTACTCTAACAACATCCATGAATAATTGGCTGTAATTTAAAGAGGTGTCACAAGCTTTGGTAATTAATCAGACACCTTGGTTTTGATGTGTCTCAAAACTGATCTAGATGCAGCCACAAGAACCGCTTTACTGGTTTTCTTTGTTTTAAATCTGGACACCTTATTCCTGTGCTTCTCAATTTAAAAAAAACTCTCTGGAAGCATGTCTTTCAGGGGTCACCTGCCGATCCCTGCATTATTTGCTTAGAGCCCCATCATGCTAGAGTAATAGAGAAGGAATGGTGGTCATAGTGACGTAGGATGAGCAAGGCTAGAGATCTAATGCGCACCTGATAGCTATCATTAATAATTCTTTCTCGAATACCAGAAATTTGCTAAGAGACCAGATTTCAGGGGCACTCACCACACACAGAAAGGTAGCCAAGAAGATGCAAATGTTAACTACTTTGACTGTAGGCTTCATTTTGCTATGTATATGCGTATCAAATCGTCACATTATACACCTTAACTCTACCATATTTATTTAAAAAAAAAAATGAATGGTTCAGGAAGCTGAGTAATTTTTTTTTTTTAACGTGTCCACAAAGCCGGCTGTAACTTTGTTACTTTCTCTTATAAAACAACCAGTTGCAAGTTTAAGAAAAGGAGGGCAGAAGCTTAGATGTCTCAAATAAGAATAGACCTCTTTTAAACAGTATAATGTAATTAAAAGCTCAGAGTTGGACAGAGCTGCAAGAACAGCCCTTATGCTCAGGAAGGCAGTTGCAGAATGCATCGAACAAGGAAAGTAGTGATTGTATGCTCCTCAGATCATGTCTTGGGAGCGTTATATACAGTCTGAGTAACTTTTTTTTTTTTTTTTTAAGATTTTATTTATTTGACAGAACACTGGCAGAGGGAGAAACAGGTAGAGGGAGAAGCAGACTCTCCGCTGAGCAGGGAGCCTGATGCGGGGCTCAATCCCAGGACCCTGGAATCATGACCTGAGCTGAAGGCAGACGCTTAACCGAATGAGCCACTCAGGCATCTCCTACAGTCTGAGTAACTCTTGTCATCTATGGAGTGCTGCTAGGATTATTACCTCCATTGTATATGTGGGTAAACCAAGAATCAGAGAGGTTGAGTAACCCTCCCAAAGCAACACAGCTCAAGAAGGAACAGAGCTAGGGCTCACGTACAAGGGGGTCTGGCTTGAAAGCCTGTTTTCTTATTTTAACAAGAGCCACCCTAGCCACCCCTAAAACACATAAATGAAACAAAGCAAAAACATCACCACAACTCAAAAGTTAACAGTGTTTTATGGGATTGTGTGTCTGGGCTGTGGGCTTATGGGGGATTCTTCTTTGAAATGCAGTGATTTTCTGTTGATCCTACTCAGATCCTTTTCATTGCAAGTGACAGAAATTTACCTTGATCCAACTTAAGGGAAGGGCATTTATTGGCTTTTATACTGTGTAATCCAAGGCTTGCACCAGCTTCAGGTAAGGCTGGATCCAGGGACTCAGATGATGCCCCCAGGTCTTTGGCTTTTTGTTTCTTGTTGGCTTCATTCTCAGACTGGCTCTGCACACATGGTGGCAAGAGGAGCCTCTACAGTGCTCACTTAGCCTTTTTTTTTTAGAGAGAGAGAGAGCGAGGGAGAAGAGCGTGCTTGCATGCGCAAGTGGGGGTTGGGGGGAGGGGCAGAGGGAGAGGGAGAATCTTAAGAAGGCTCCACGCCCAGTGTGGAGCCCATTGCGGGGCTTGATCTCATGACCCCAAGATCATGACCGGAGCCAAAAATCAAGAGTCGGTCGCTTAAATGACTGCGCCACCCAGACGCCCAGTACTCAATATCTTCTTTAGAGTATTTGGGCTGGGTCGCTTCTCCAAAGAGAAGAATGCTAAGCAGAAAACTATGCCTGCCCACCAAAACTATGTCCACACTGTATTTCCATAATCTTACAGTGAACACATTTTGAAAGCAGAATGATGTATTTTTTAAAAAGATACTGTGTATTGAATATTCGTTTTGTGCCACACATCCTGCTTGATGCTTTTTGTGACTTATTTCACTCCTGACGCATAAGAGACATCCAGTAAACTCTTTTTGTTGTTGTTTTTTTGTTTTTGTTTTGTTTTGTTTTTTAAGATTTTTTATTTATTTATTTGACAGAGAGAGAATGAGAGAGAGAGCACATGAGAGTGGGGGGGTCAGAGGGAGAAGCAGGCTCCCCGCTGAGCAGGGAGCCCGATGCGGGACTCGATCCCGGGACTCCAGGATCATGACCTGAGCCGAAGGCAGTCACCCAACCAACTGAGCCACCCGGGCGCCCACCAGTAAACTCTTGAATGGTTGAATACGTTATGTAGCTACCCTGCTGTAATGTTTGTGAGACTGGCTCATGTTGCACAGCTCACGAAGAGTTAGGGAAGTGGGTGGGGAAAGATCACAGAGAGGTTAAGTAACTTCCCCCAAGTCACACAGCAAGTACGTGGGAGAGCCAGGACCCACGTCTAGGAAATGGGTTTCTAGAGCCGGGTTTCTCAAACTCTGCACAGTCCATATCTGGGGCTGGGTAATTCTTTGCTGGGGGGGTGCCGTCCTGTGCAAAGTGGTCTCCGCAGTATCCCTCTACCCACAGGATGCTGGTGACACCCCTCCCCTGGTTGTGATTGACAACCAGTGTCCCCCAGGGGGCAAAAGCGCCCACTGGTTGAGACCCTCTGCTCTGGAGCCCTTGTTCCCAGGCACAGCACGCCGCCCCCAGGCCTTTCTTTAACGTTGAGTCTCTTTAAGCCGAGAGGTTTTCACCATTACTAGCATTTCTTTAAGCCAAGAGGACCTGCTAAATGGTTTTCACCATTACTAGCATTTCTTT